GGGAGCGGGGTGGGGGCGCTCGGCCTGCAAGCCCCGGGCACCGCCTGCCGCTCTGGCCCCGCGCCGGCCGCCGGGGACGGTTGGAGGGAGCGGCCCCCGCCTGCTGGAGCTAAGCCCGCCGGCTAGCAGGAGTGCGGGCGGACGGCCGGTAGGCGGAGCCGGGGTTGTTTACCCTAGGCCGCGCGGCGCCCAGGTCACGTGGGTCCGCTGGAATGCGCGCCCCATTCAAGCGCGGTGCCGCCTCCGCCCGGGCCCCGCCTTCCGCAGGCGCACACCCCAACCTAGCCCCATACTCTCATCTCAGGCCCCGCCTCTTTAGCCCGAGTCCGGCGTTCCCGGCGGGCGGGACATCACAGCCCAGTCCCCTGGCCCAGGCCCGGTCTGTCCCTCCCCTGCGCCGCAGCCTAGCCCCGCCCCCTGACCCAGGCCCCGCCTCCCCAGCCAAACCTCAGCCCCGCCCCGCACCCCTCGGCCCCTCCCCAGCCCCGCCCCTGTGCGCCGACCTCTTGGGCGTGGCCCGCGGCGGCCGAGCGGGACGGGCGGGGCTGTACTCCGAGCATGTGCGGAAGCCCGCTTCTGTGGCACCTCAGCTGGAGGCTTTCTGGTAGTACGTCTCGGCCATGCTCCGTGCTCCTGTGGCCCGATGCGCTTAGCTCCGACACGCTCGGAATATTGCAGACCACGTTTCTAAGAAAGCTCAGGAGTCCAGGGAAGGAGCGCCTCCCTGCAGAGCCTGTGCGTGGCCGCGTGTTCAGCTTCTTAGATCAGTTCCGGAATCGAGGTTCTGCACGGCTGACGCAGGTCCCTGGGACTTGCAGGGGTGAAATTCCCCGCTCTTCAGGGCGCTTCTCCCAGGATACCAAATGGTGGGCCCCTTAAGGCATTTTGAAACCTGATTTGGATTAAGTCGGAGGTAGTAGGGAGGCGTCCAGCCAGGAGAGATGGAGAGGAAAAAGCCAAGGCTATAATGCCCTGTGATGGGAGAAGCCGGGCCAGTTGAACAACAGTGCAGTTTGGCAAGCAGCTGCTTGGCAGAAAGGAGGAATAGCCTGAGAGAAATCCCAGTGTCCGCAAAAGCATGCCCAAGGTCTGAAGAAAGCAACGCCCCAAAGCAAAGTTGGCCTTTTATGCATGAGAACTCAAAGGCCAGCCGACCACAGCTTGCCCCCACGGCCGGGGGCCGCAGTGAGGGCGGGGAAGGTGTATTGTCTCCTTAAGGGAATGATTATCATCATTTTGTAGCTTAAACTGTCAAGTCTCAGGGCTAGACACAAAGCTCAGTTTCTGTCCAATTTGCCCCCGAAGGCGTTGTTTTACATTAATGAGCTTCAACAGACCTTCCCCATTTTTATGTAGTAATTTAAAACCTAAGGAGGCATTACCCTGTAGGGGGACAGGGGAAGTAAGGTTTAAGTCAGTGAGGGCGTGGTCGGTCCTCAGTGGCCTGCCATTTTGCACGTGAATGGAATGGCTGTCTTGATCTGTTTATTTTTACCCCTACCACAGTGCAAAGCACATAATGGTAATTAAATAAATGGAAAATTAGTTCCTAAGGTTTCTCAGTGAAGACGTCAGAATTGATATCTAGGGTCAAGACCTAGTCAAGACTTCTAATTTGCCGTGAGAGATTGGACTGGCAAAATCCTAGGGACAGTCACGTGCTCACATGCTCCAACCTGCTAGGTGAATTGAGGAGAAACTAAATGACTGTCAGGCCATCTTTTCAAATTCTGACTTATTGGGGATGCACTGGTCCACTGTAAAGCATGTAACCCTAAACTCAGCCTTTGGCCTTTCAGTAGCTGGGGTTCTGAAACAAGAAAATACTATTGACAACATGATAATCTTCAAATAATATTTATTATCTGTATATGCCTAGCAGGGCTAGCTACTATCACAAGAATCTGGAGAGAGATAAAGGGAACATGAAATTTTAAATCTTAAGAGAGTTGTTAACAAGTGGAAGTTAACACAGGAAAACAAAGCACTAAGTACTTAGTCATCAGGCTGTGTGGCCAATGCACCAAGTTAGGAACAGACGCAAACAAAACATAAAAATTTAAATTTAACATGAGGGCATGTATTTTGTATTCTCTATGGGAATCAGTGTTGTCCTAGTTTGTTTCTTCATTGCTGTGACAAAATACTAGGACCAATACCAACTTGGGGAGAAAAGGGTTTATTCAGTTTATATCTCCTAGGTCACAGTTCATCAGGGAGTCCAAGGTAGGAACTCAGGGCAGGAACCTGGAAGCAGGAGCCAGAGCACAGGCCGTGGAGGAATGCTGCTGCTTACTGACTTGCTCCTCTGGCCCCTGCTTGGCTTGCTCTCTTATCCAACACAGGCCCATCTGCCCAGGGGTGGCATTACCCACAGTGGGCTGGGCCCTCCCACATCACTCAACAATCAAGAAAACGCTCCACAGACACAGCCACAGGCCAGTCCAATGGAGGCAGTTCCCCAATTGAGGCTCCCTTAATTCAGGTGTGTCAAGTTGACACTAAAACTATCCAGCACAAATATGCATATAGCAATCAGAAAAGCCTCCCTGGAGAAGGTGACACTTCAGGACTCCTTCAAACCCTAAATGATCGCCAGCCTTGGAACTGGGAGGGGGTTCCCACCCTTCAAAGCTGTTGTGGTTTGAGTTTGAGGTGTCCCCTATAGGTCCACTATGTTGGAACACTTGATCCCCATGTGATGACCCTTTGGAAAGGTTGTGGAACCTTTAGGAGGTGGAGCCTTGCAAAAGAAGTGGATTCCTAAGGGCAGGGCTGGAGTTTTATAGCCCCGCCCCACTTCCTGAACTCTCCCTGCTTTGAGTCAGGATGTGATGTGTGACGTCAGCCTCCTGTTCCTGTCACTGTGCCTTCCCTGCCTGATGGCATGCCTTCTCTGTGGACTGCATACACACACACACACACACACACACACACACACACACATCTCAGCAATAGAAAAATAAGACAAAACTAAGGGAAAGCTAAGCCTTAATGATAACAAAAACATGGGGCGAAAAAGAGAGGGAGGCGAAAGTGATTCCTTGAAAAAGTTCTTTCAAACCCTACTTGAAAAGGATCCTTTATCAAACCATGTGACAGGCTCAGTTGTACACACAGGAAAGTATGTATGTTCACATTTCTGTATGTCAGGAAGTGTATTTGACTTTAAGAAGACTAAAGGAAACTAGACCCCTGTGCTCTCCCCCAGGAAGCTCACAGGAGAAGATGATGACTTGGGTTAGGCTTCTAGAGGGCAGCGTTCTTCAAACATAGGCTCTGTCTTTCTAGAGAAATGCTGAACAGTGCAGGGATCCTCTGTTTTATTCCATTTGCTTTGGAAATGTAAGCTGATTCACTCAAGTTTTACAAGGACATTAGGGATCCTACAAGATGGTAGTGATTTCCAAATTGGGTTTTCACAAAGCATGAAGAAATAGTAGAGGCAGCAAAGCAAGAATAGAGAACCATTGCCCAGTGTGGAGGAGCATGCCTTTAATCCCAGCGCTCAAGAGGCAGAGGCAGAGGCGGGCAGATCTCTTGTGAGTTCACGACCAATTGGGTCTACATATTTACTTCCATGCTAGCCAAGGCTATACAGTGAGCCCATGACTCAAAACTGAAACAAACACCAAGCAAGGATAGAGAATCAAGCCCAAGACCCCTAGCCTCAAACAGCTTCTGTGGCAAAAAGAAAGATAAGCCCAAGTTCAACACTGAGAAGAAGAGTTGTTAGAAATAAAATATGGGGTCCAACAACCCCAGAACACATGTGTGCACACACACACACACAAAACCACACAAAGCAAAAATAGCTCAGCAAGGTTATTTTTACTTTTGCAAAAGGGTATGTTGTGGCATTCAGATCAAACAAACTCACCAGAGCCTGAAGTCTGATAGATTTTTATCCCTAGCTCGAAAGTGCTATACCTTGCTGGGCGTGGTGGCGCATGCCTGTAGTCCCAGCACTTGAGAGGCAGAGGCAGGCGGGTCTCTGTGAGTTCAAGGCCAGCCCGGTCCAGGCATTGCATGACACAGGTGCCCTTACATACATGCAGCTAAAAAAAAAAAAAAAAAAAAAAAAAAAAAAAAAAGCTATCTTTTCTGCATTGGCTAGTTTTTAAAATACTTTTATTTATTATCTTTTATGTGTATATTGTCTGCATGTGTGAAAGTGCACTCATGTCATGCAATGCCCAAGGAAGTCAGAAGAGTGTGTCAGATCCCCTGAAACTGGATTTATGGATGGTTGTTAGCTACTATATGGGTGCTAGGAATCGAACCCAGGTCCTCTGCAAGAGCAATCAGTGCTCTTAACCACTGAGCCTTCAGCCCCTCGATTGACTAGTTTAAAAGAACAGGCACAAAAGGAATGAAGAAGAAAAGGGTCAGCAAAAGGGAAATGGGCTCAGGACCTCAGGTTCTGGGAGTGTAGCAGGGCTTTTGTATAAACAAAAATTTTACAGGGTGAGGGGGATTTTATTTAATTCCTTATCCCAGATAAAAGTTTTACAGTGTTTGATAGAAAAGACATATTTAATGTTTCTTACAGAATGAATCCACATAATCATCCATAATTAGGTAATTAAAGTTAATATGAATGATAGGATGCCACAGGATAGGAAAGACTGAAAGGTATGGGTATTCAGAGAGGGAGCATGCTAAATTTTGAATGGTTTATGTGACTATTATCCTCAATTGTAAGCTCAGTGGGAGAAAGTTCTCAAAACTTGGCACAGAGTAACTTAAAGGTTGTGTGGTAAAGTATAGGTTAAAAACAAGAGTTGGGGTGTAGCTCAGTGGGAGAGTCCTTTCCCAGCCTGTGTGAGGCAGTGGAGTTGATTCCTAGCACTGCAGAATGAAAACAAAACACCTGGGCAAGGAGGCTGCGTTTGGTTTACAGAAAAACATTAACTATATCTAATTAAGCTAAAAACAAATGAAAAAACGTCTAACGATTCCATTCTGGAAAATCATCTGTCCAATGTGTCTTTGGAGGTGTGCAGAGAATTGGCAGAAGTTTCAGAAACTAGGGCTCTAAACTAGAGCCGCTTAGTTATTTAATAGACTAGGAAAGTAGGAAATGTTAGCAATTATCAACCAAAGGGTAGCAACAAGAAACCCAGTGGGTTCACACAGAGGACAAGGACAAGGCAGTCATCAAAGATTCCAGAACGGGGTCTTTCAGACAGCCCAGGCAGCTGCCCATCAAAGTCATCATTACAAAAGAGCAACAATCCTGGCGTATTATTTTTTCTAAGGCACATATACTAAAAAGCACCAATTCAGAATATCACACCTTCCCTTCTGAAACAAGACTTCCAAAAAACCTCAAGCATTTTCCCATTTGTTCATTCATTAGTTATATTTTTATAGACCTACCGTGAAAAAGAGCTAGGTTGGAGGACCCATGCTTCCCAATCTCAAAACTTACTGTAAGGTACACAAGACTAACATGTAGATCAGTGAACTAGGTTTCATAGTCTAAAAATGAGTTCATACTACTGAAATCAATTTATTTAGGGTTTTTTGAGTGCTGGGATTAAAGGTTTGTGCTACC